TTTAATCTACTCATCACCTGGTCTCATCAACGAAAGGACTAAAACTCAGGTAAATAAAAGGATATTAAAAAAACAGATCCCATCCCCCGGCCCCATCATAGACAGGCAAACCTGATATTGGATCTAAAAGCAATCAAATGCATACCCCAATTACAACCCCAAAGGGTGGGTGACATGTCCACATATTGTGATTTGCAATAAGTGACACCCCCACCCCCGGCAATTATGACACTAATTGTTTTTTTTCAAAAAGAGAAACAGAACTACTAATAAAAACTAAAGAAAAATATATCGCAATTCCGAATGCGCTTTGTGATTGGAGGACTTGTGTTCGGTTATATGTTTATTTTTTATTTTCGCCAACAATGGCATTGTTTATGAGACTGTGAAAGGTGTCGTCTGCACTCATCACAGATAAGAATATTCCTCTGTTCGTTCTTGTTTTACAGAAATTAATTTAGACTAAACAAATAGTTTTCATTAAATAAAAAAACGGATGATTTAACATATGGGAGGCTATTGCATTTGTTGGGGAGAGAGTGTCAATGTAGAAATTATACACTTACTCGTTGTTAAAAACTAGTCCAAATTTGTCCGATAAGTATTAGTAAGATTTCTGCGAAAATAATATTATTTACAAATCAGAGATAAGGATCAATGAGTCATATAAAACCTACAAACTTTTCAAGTTTCAGATTGTTTGCCCGCTATTATTTAAAAACTGACGTACTGTGTTTAAATCCCGTCGCGGTCTCAATTGTAGACGGCAACTTTAACGGGACATATTAAAGGAGATGGCTTCAATTTAATAAATGTCGTATACGCGTAAAAAATGTGTGCAATTGATATACTAAAGCTAATCCTGTTAAAATAAAAGTGAAAAAAATATATAAACTCATGAAAAATGTCATACTCACTTTAAACTTGGTTTAGATGGCAACTGAACGCCGAGCTGATTGCAACATAAGTTTGACTTCGCCGCCATCTTGACTTAATTATAGAGGGCGCACTTCACTTTTCAAGTCACTTGTAATAACAATTGCGGGCGCTATCAGACCTGGAGATCTTTTTTTTACCTCCATGATCCTTACTTACTTAGTCTTTACTAGACTCGTCACATCCGACAATGTACAACACACACTTGCATAAGGTAAGGTTCATGCCAGGTGCGGCCACGTATGTGCAGTCGGTCCGGCGAACCATTTATTTAACAAAACACACTAATAAAGCCAACTAAAAACGGCTGCCATTGCATTGCATGTAGTGTTCAGATTAAAATAAACTAAATGAGAGAAAAAATAACTAGCATGGACTGCAAACAAAAATCGACTATTGATGCTCGGCAAATGACATTAACATTACTCGGTCAAAGAAACATTAAAAAACTACTGACAAAAACATCGACAAAAATACAAAAATAGTAACCCCCGTTACTGGCACGCCGACCGCCCAGGAAATACCAGGTTAAAAAACCCTTTGGGGACAAGAAATACCTGGAAACCTGTACCCGTCGCACTGTTGAACGTGCCCAGGGGAAGGTGGCGGGTGTCGCCCTGTATTATACAACAAACATTAACAAACTTACAAAACAACCAGTTGAAAACTGCACTGTAGCGGGACTGGCCTAGACTGACATCCAACCTTCTGTCCTCCACTTAAATACCCTTTGTCACATGACCCCCACATACCATACCCGTCTGTTTGCCATCACGAACAGACAATAGTTAACCGCTATACTGCGAAACGCGGTTAACAATATTTAGTCACTGAGGCAAAATGGTTTGAAAGTGTACGATTAATTAAACACAGCTGATATTATAGAGACTCGGTCGTACATAGGAAACATCGAAAACAACACTATACTGTTTATTTTTCTGTTTTTCAAGTTTGTATTTCTTGTTTTAACATGTACATTAAAATCGGTGAAATACAACATTTATTAAAGCGCGGTTGATAAACATTGATTTTCCCACAATCCAATGCGTTCTTCTAATGGAAATCACCAGTATGAGGTTTGACCTGGGCGCGACTTGCACTGATTACTGCTGGTGACTCCTTGATACCTTCGAATAACATGAAAATTACCTAATTAAAGCTTGGAAACGTCTCAGTCCGTACTCGTTGATCTGCGCAACAGTCAAAGTCGCCATCTTTGTTTATATGAGACTCATATATCTCGCACATGCGACTACCGCGCTTTAATTTATGTTTCTGTTTCTGGGAAATTTAACGTGAATTCCTCCCTGTGTGTGTTGTGTGTTTGGTTCATTTCTATTATCAACGAACTTCCCAACACATGCATACCACACGTCGTCGCCTTCTGTATAACGTAGTGTTCAAATTGCAATTCGTCGCATGATGGCGCCACTGCTAATTCAGATTTACTATATACAGTACCTGGGTGTTCATGAGTAACCGCGTTCACTTGACTGACAATACGTGAGTGAGAAAAGAGGGCCATATATTCACCAAACGTTTATATTTAATCTCAATACAGACTCCCCAACTTTCATTCAAATTGAAATTGGGGGTTTATACTCATAGTTTTTTCGAATAATAGTCTGTCATTACACCAATGTTCTAAGTTTTCCTCAGTTGCAACATATTGGAATTTGGACAAATTCCGGAGGGCAAATCTTTTGAGTAGCCCTACTGCAAGGGTTTATAAAATAAAGGTATGCAACTCACGCAAATTGCGAGATGATCACAAAATCGCGAGACAAATCACATATATATGTTGTTTAACTCTAAGCTTGCGTCAGGCGTAACATGTGACCATGACAAATGGTCACTAATGCAAAAAGTGAGTCTGAGAGGGTTTGTCTTAAACTTGCGTAATTGAATTTGCGTAAATCTTTGCTTTAAAGTTGTATTGTAGGCAAAACTTTGTTGAAATCCCATTTAATTTTGAGTAACTTGGCTAAAAGTTACATTGTTCGCTAGTTGTACTGATCGAAACCTGACGCTGTGGTAACATGAGTGAAACATTTGTCCTCTAAATTCAAATGGCAGAAACAACTCGAGAGTGTGGTGTGCATATCAGGCTAATCGGTGAACAGAGAATCTTGGTGCGATTTAGTGGTTTGAACAATCGAAGCTACGGAACTGCTCGGTGATGTTCGGGTATTGACAACTTGAAGACGGATATCTTGCTGTAGCTGTGGTAGTTATTTCAGTAAAAATACTACTTAAAATGTCAAAGACTTCAAACAAAATTTAGCCGATAATACAACTTCAAATATGGCTCTTTAGGTGTATATGGCTCTTTAGGTGTATATGGCTCTTTAGGTGTATATGGCTCTTTAGGTGTATATGGCTCTTTAGGTGTATATGGCTCTTTAGGTGTATATGGCTAGTCTTTAGGTGTATATGGCTCTTTAGGTGTATATGGCTCTTTAGGTGTATATGGCTCTTTAGGTGTATATGGCTCTTTAGGTGTATATGGCTCTTTAGGTGTATATGGCTCTTTGGGTGTATATGGCTAGTCTTTAGGTGTATATGGCTCTTTAGGTGTATATGGCTAGTCTTTAGATGTATATGGCTCTTTAGGTGTATATGGCTCTTTAGGTGCATATGGCTAGTCTTTAGGTGTATATGGCTAGTCTTTAGGTGTATATGGCTCTTTAGGTGTATATGGCTCTTTAGGTGTATATGGCTCTTTAGGTGTATATGTATAAGTGTTTATATTATCGTATATGTAGACTTATAGCGGGAGACTATCACTGATTAACAACGATGTTGTTCATGAGTTGCGCCCTCTTGCGACAAGGCACTTCTCTGGTGCTTCACCGCCTGGCAACCGGAGGCGGTGAAAACAAAGGCCCAAAACTCGCAGAAAACGGTATTTTGGGATGATTGTTGAGACTCCTCTGAACAGTGTAACAAGATTAGCATTACGTGTGTAACATGTATAAATTTGGTTGTTCAGGATTACTTCAAAGTTGAGTTTGTGTTGTTTTCTCGAATTTACCGACTCGACCGGCGTTCCACAGCAGCGCGCACAGAGCCCATAGAAATGCATGTACAGTGGTGCGCGTCTTAGTAACGTGGAACGTCTTGTGACGTAGCTCCGCCCCCGAGGATATCGAATCGCGCAAATGTCATAATTGCAGCGCCCTCACATGGTAGAATAGAACGTTTGGGGGGATTCGGAAAAGGTCAATTGTTATGGCCTGGTTATTGAATAGATCATTGTTTGTCCGAATAGAAAAAGTTACGCACTCGTGCGCACATACCTTGGCAACGTCTAGTGTTAGAATACCCTCATTTCTGACCCCTGCCCTCTGAGACAATCCAAACTACGGCCATTATGCAAACAGTTGTGAACAATATTGTGTCTGAACTTTGTTACCTCTTGATTTGTCAAAGGAGAACGCATTCCACGACATACAATAGAGACTGTAACGAGACACGTAGTTACGTCTTTTGTTGTATAAAAGCTGAATTGTGTTCATTGACTCTACACGTGTATCGAGGGTCCATGGTTGTGTACGAATCCTCGTCTAATATTCGAACGCTCTTGCTCACGTAATGTCTGCATATAATATAAATATTTATTAAGTCTCTGAATATAAAAATAATACAAGTCAACCACATAATCTATGTCAAGAGTGATTGATTTTTAATGCATGGAATGTGGTAAGTTGCGAGTACACTCCCGCATTCCTGCTTACACTTAACAACCGTCTTGTTTAAAACCTTACGCATACTCGCCGCGGCCATTAGAAACTTTCGGAGGTTTTGGTTCTAAAAAAACATGCGCAGGGAATCTACAAAGGGGATATGCATAAAAGTAATTCATATACAATATGATTTATTGTAAAAAAAAGGGAACAAACTAAAATGTAAGGCGAAACTATCCAGAAAATTAAAAAAAGTGTTTCTACCAGAGTTTATAATGGACATGTATACGTATCAACAAAGATAGTTCTTATTATGCTTTTAGTAAGTCATGTGACCTAATTCTGCGCGACGTGAGTTAATTCTAGACGGGGCCAGTCGGTTATTGTTTTATATGATAATATCCTATATGAAATAAAATTGGGCCGACGCGAAATTTCCAGAAGAAAAATATGTCCGCATACGCTTTGAAATAGTTAGTACGTACAAGAAAATTTAAAACGCATGCTTATTTTGTAGTTCGATTCATGTTTAATGTAATGTATAATCCAGTGTATATATCAGAATTCAATATCGAAAATTAAAATGTAAAAACGTTATTCACATTGCCTTGCCTAGGATAAATTCCGGCCACGAGGGCGTTTCTGGGATAAAGAGTCCGACCCAAGATAACATGTTATTGCGCGGGGGGGGGGCGTATATCCCGGAAGATTCAAGATGAGAGATTGTTATCGTACTTAAAACATACTTTTGAAGGCCTTCAGTAAGTTTGTAAACTATTTTGCAAGAAATTCGTAAATGGGAACCATACCACTATTTTCAAATGAAAATACTATGCTATAAATATTCTCCACCATTTTGTTAAGCATCACATGTACATATGTGCGTGAACGTTGACCTTTCGGATTTTGTGATCATCAACCAGGCCGCCCAGGGTAGTTATTCTCCAATAACTGTTTCGCCAAGAGGCACTAGGTGTGTTTTAATTAGGATTTATGATTAATAACATAGTATAAATGGAAGGGCAAAGTACGCCACCATTATCTGGGTGTGCACGTCACCATTATCTGCTGTGCACGTCACCATTATTTGGGTGCATACGTCATCATTATCTGGGTGCTCACGTCACCATTATCTTGGTCCGGAGCTTGAGGTTCATGCATGCAAAAAACTTCGTCCGTAAGAATGTTTTCATTAAATCAAATTAAGACGTTAATAACTGTCTAATTGTTGTCAGAAACGGAACCGATGTAGAATTGTTGGTTAGGTGAGGAAAATGTGTGCCAAAGATGTCTTTACCAAAGTATTAAACGAATGCTTCAAATGGGCCATGATCCGCCCCCGAAATAGTCTATCCGCAATCTACGGCAATGTGTCGTAAGTGTGATTCGCCGGTTAATTCTTCATGTCCATGTATTCATTTTGGTGTACCTGACGAGTCGGAGTGTCTTTCTCGTATGCGTTGTTGTCGTATGATTGGTTGAAGTAGGGAGGTGGCGGCGATGACGTCGTGTCACCGCGCATGGTCAGGTATTCACTTTGTACTGGTTGTAGATATAACCCTGGGTCACCTTTGGGGTTTATGCCCAGATCATCGATATCAGCATACACAGGTTCATTGAGGTGCTGTAATGGTGGCGGTGTGTTCCTTCGCCTGAAATGAATTACGCAAATATATTATTGGTTGAAAGTGTGTGAAGTAAGTCGCGCTCTATAGTGAGCAGCGATTCAGTGACGTCACGGTAAATCAAGGTAAATGGGAGAAATTAATTTTGTTTTGACCTGTAGTCGTACGTAAAATAACAAAATAATGTTTTTTGGAGGTTTACTGCATTCGAAATGATAATCAAGTATTTCTTTCTCATGAATTTGAACCGGTGAGAATAACTTAACTTTCAAAATTTATAGATCAAAGCAAAGTGATTATATCAGAGTTTTTTTTTTCTAGGAGAATTTTCAATGGAAAACTGAAAAAACATCTCAAAAACTTGAACTCACAATGAGTAATGGGTACTCATCAACGCGTGATTGGTTTCACCCGAATGAACCGAAGTTCAACGTTTAATCTAGCCTAAGGATGGCTATTGTTTACTAGTATTTAGACAATTGTTTCATTTTCGGTTTCGTTTTTTTTTTCAATGAAACCCCTCCATACATCTTGTGTTTTACTCCATGCCTATTGTTTACCCACCGTCCAATCTGAGTAAATGACAGTTTCTTAGGGACGACGTCAAAAGATCGATGTCGGATAAAAAAACTTAATTCCTTTAGTTTTTTTCCAAACCCTCCACTGAAACTTAATTGATAAATATTGGTCATGGCGTCAGACTACATTCACAATTAAATGCAAATTGATAATCGGACAGTAGTATTGCATAGCAAGTTGGTTGTCGGGTGGGTGTAAAACGATTTTACAAATGCACCTCATTTGACGCACAGATTTATACTCAAACCAAACCATTTTTCTGTTTTTTTTTTCC